AATTAAAATAATAATAAGTATTTTTATTTTAATCAAAAATATATATTTTAAAAAATTGATTATTTTATTATTTATTTATTAAAATTTAATTACTGTATCTTTATTTAAATATTTAAATTTAAAATATAATTTACATTAAAGATTATTTTATTAAATTATTTTTTATTTTTCTTAGTAGTTTTATTTTTTCTATTATAAAGCTTTTATATTAAATTTAAACATATTTGATCTAAAAATCATATTTGACATATTCATCTTTTAAAATAATTAAATAGTAAGAATAGTGAGTTCTGTAAATTAAGTTTTTTTAGGTAAATACTTGAATTTTAATATTATAATTTTATCTTTTAATAAAAATTATAAATCTTTATATTTGATATTTTTTAAGTATTATAGTAAATACTTAATTATTTAATTATTTGAATAATAATAATAATAGTAATTAAAGATATAATACTTATACAATAAAATCAATCTTTTATCTAAAGAATTTCAATATGTAAAAAATAAGCTATTCAATAATAATATTATAAACAAAATCCTAATATTATCATGACAGATAAATAAGATTTTAATAATATTTTAAGCTCTATTACCAATCTATATTTTTTGATATTGATATATTATTAATAATTTCTGGTAAATAATTTTACTTTACTTGGATAAGTTGATGTTTATAAATCTTAATAAAATAACTAAAGATTTTTTCTTACCAAATACAAAAACAATTTTGCAAAAATCTATGATGCAATTATGAATAAGTTTGAATAATTATCAGCTTAACAAAATATGCGAACTATAAGGAGGTCAAAATATACAATCCACTGCATTACACACATAAAAATATAATCTTAAATAATAATAAATATGTTGCAACATTTGAAAATATAAAATAATTTATTCTCTTGCTTTATTTATTTATCTATTATTATTCAATCATTCAAATTATTATATTATTCAACTAATTTATCGTGAAAAAAGATCTGAAAATTACTAAAACATCTCCAACAGATTTTTTTCTGAAATGACATGTTATATGTATGAATGATTAAAATTTCTTTTTTCATATTCAAAAATAATAAAGATCAAAGATTCTGATATTAACTTTTATCTTTATTTGAGGAAGGCCTAATGTAAGCAAAAATATTATATTTATCTACAGTTATTCCTAAATTATAAATATGTAATACGTGATGGTAATAAAAATAAATAGGTGTCAAGCTTAATTACAAAAGTAGTATAAAAGCCATTAAGTTAAACCAAGAAAATGCATGGTGGAATTTTCTAAAAGTTGTGGTGTATTCATGGTGCCAGGAGAAATATCTGATGGGTTATCAAAAGATTTCTATTGAATAATTGCTGATGGTTCAAGACTATATGAGGTGATATTTCTCACTTTAATTCTATAGACTAATTCTACATCAATCAGATCTTTTGGATCAACAAGTTCTTTTAATAACTTGAAGACATCCAAAGATGAAATAGCATAGGCATGTGTACAAGATGGGCTGTTGGATTTGAACAATTTATATAAAGAAGGGTTGAAACTATGGCGAAATTTAAAGAATCATCCCTTTTGTTAGAACAATGTCTAAGATATACCATTTCCCAATTACCAGGTAAGCCACAATAAACTTTAAATACAATTGATGAAATGCTCATTTCAATGTCTACATTTTCTTCTAAGATCAAAGCACTCTCATACTTCTGGAGAGCTATTAATTTCCAAACTTTGTAATAACTAACATAGCAAGCTTTGTAAGAAGGTGTTAAGTCATTCTTATACTCGTTAAAAGTTTCACTATTATTAGAAATAGCTTTGAAAAAATCAAAATCTAAGCTAAATACATTCGCAATAACCTTCATATTATGACGTCTATCTGTTCAATAAGCAAGATTTATGACATAAATATGATTGAAACCAAGGGTGCTATTCGTAAAATTAATTTCAGAAAAGAATGGTGAAGAAAACAGAAAGGATACATATAAAGTTAATAAAATTGCTATTAATAAGCAGGAAAATATTAATTTTTTTCTAAAATTTTTTAAATGCATTTGAGGATGTAGATTGTAAATTGAATTCTCAATGATAGAAAAAAACATACCATTTGATTTTTAGCAGTTACACAAAACCAAATTCAATTCATTATCAAAGTTTTAAATTGGACTAAACCTAAAAGATCTTATACTGTATATTTTAAAATATTCTTTGGTTAATTAACATTAATTTACGCTTATCCAGCGCAGTGCCAATTACTAATTTTTGTATTATATAAATTAACCTATAGTGCAACCTCTATAATCAAAAATTAAATAAAATTTTATCTTATAATTGAATTTTTATAAAAATTAAAAATTTGTAAAAAGGAATTGATTTATCAAATAAAAAAAATTCTCAATTCGATTACTTTATTTAGTTATCACTTGATCGTATAAATCACATGATTTGTATATTATTTTACTATATTAAGCTCATTATATATATTATTGAGTACCCTTCTATGAAACTTATATTTTTTTACTACAAACTTCACTAGCTTATCTGTAATTCCTTTTCTATATACCCATATATCTCCAGGAATTTTAAGCATATTGACGAATAGTTATTAATAATATAGAATTTAAAAGTTTTAGATATAACTTTTTGTAAACCTAATCAAGATTAATCACAATATTTTCTTTTATACATTTTAGTAATCCTTAATATATCTCAATAAAATTGAGCTCACAATGATATTTTGGAAAAAAGATACATTTGTGACCTCTATTTTTAATTTTTTTCTGAAAACAAGATTTTTAAGCAATAAAATCAATCTTTTCTTTAATTATCTATAATTTTATTTTTACCTTTATATATTGTAATTAATAATCTCCAATTAATCTATTTATTATAAATTTCTTTTTTTAATATTTCACATATTCTTTTTGGTTAATTAAGATATATAGAATGATTAGCAAAAAAATCCATCAATTGCTAAGTATTATTTGGTTTAAAATAAGTTGATCACATATATGATTATTTGCCTCAGGATTAACATTCATTAATGAAGTATTTAAATCATCTGCTAGAATTGATTTATAATTTATACTATTATTAAATATTATAACAGCAATTACTTTAGAATAAATTATTTCAAAAATAGGAATAGTAAAACTATTTATTTCAGATTACATGCTTGCATTTTATAATAATATTTATGCTTAAAATGATAATATTCAAAAATAAAAAATCACGTATTTTCTAAGGTGATTTATTAATATAGGAAAATAAAATTTAAATATGATATATTAACATAACTAATCTAATGAAATATTTTTAGAAATTTGCACTATTTTTCTTATTTAATCTCTTAACTTCATATGAAGGACTTATATCACTCATCTTTCTTGATATTTTTTGAAAACTATTATAATACTCTGTAAATTTATAATAATCTCATTCTGGAATTAAAGATTTTGTATCAGTATCATTATATAACTAAGTATATATTTAGAAATAAGAAAAATACTTACTCATAAAACTAATAAAGCATAAACAAACTCTTCAACTTTCTCAACTAACTCTTTATCAAGGGATATTTTTGCTTTAATGACTGAAACTGGATAACACTCTTATAAGAGTGTTATCCAGTTCTGCTATAATATTATCTAATTATGAGTAAACTGTTACCTAGTTATAAGTAAATTGTTACCTAGTTACTATTTTTAATATTCTATAGCCTTTTTATTGCTTTATTACTATCTATTTGATTTTATTGCTCTGTAACCTTTTTATTGCTTTATAGATATTTGCTTAATTTTATTACTCTGTCCTCTTTTTAATTTCTTCTAGCAATTTGCTTATTTTCATTGCTCTGCGATCTATTTATGACCAAGATACTAGGCTAACATTTATTGCTAAAAATCATGTTGTGATTGGGTGACGCAGTAAATTTGCAATTAGATTTATGCAATTTTAAGCTCATTTGGATAAGAACATTAAGAGCTTTCTAATAATGCTAAGATCGCATGGATTAGATGCCTGAATGCATATCGAAGGTGTAATTTGCATTATATTAATCGGCCTATATATTTTCCTTTTTGATTGCCATTTCTTGATTTCCAGATGAGACATAAAGTGTTGAATTTACAATCCATCTATTTGCTAAAGATGTGTTGCAATCCATTCACTCACTTTTTGATTGCTAGTCAGGCATATGTAAAGTGCTGATGTTGTATCATTCTTGCAATTCTGTTCATAACCATTTTGATTGCTGAAGATGAGGCATGAAGTTCTGAATTGATGACCCAGATACGCAATCCTACCTTCCATAACCCTTTTGATTGCCGAAGATAAGGCATAAAATGCCGAATTAGTGACCCAGATACGCAATCCTACCTTTCATAATCCTTTTAATTGCTGAGGATGAAGCACGAAGTGCTGAATCAAGTTTGACCATATTCTTTTCATGTTCTTTTTCTCATATTTTCCTAAATCTTTCTGCCTTTCTGACCTCTTTCCTGCCTATTATCTGGTAATCTGGATACACAAAATTTATTCTCTCTTTCTTATATATAATTCTGCGCATCTGAGTCACTAAAATTTTAGCTTCTAGATCCTATTCCTGTGTAGTTACTACTTCAGGATATCTTTGCATCAATTGCTTTAGAATATTATTTAGTATATTTATTGCATATT